GCAAGATCAAACATTTGTATTAATGAGGTAAAAGGTTTGTTCCTCAGTGTTATTGCTAAGAAACAATTTTTGGGAAAGATTAAATATGCTTCACCCAAACTATTATATATAACTATTATAAACATATACAGGGTGTTTCATATTGAATGGGACAAAAAGAAAACATGATTATAAACGTTATAATTAATATATTTAGAAAATTCAAATTTACTTAAAAACTACATTTATTCAAGTTTTTACTGGTGTTCAATATGTGCCCCTCCGGTGACACGACAAATGTCTACACGGTAATCCTGCCACACTCGTGATAGCATATCCCCTGTGATGGAGTTCAACACTGCAGTTATCCGCTGCTTCAGTTCCTCTAAGTCCTGAGGAAGTGGAGGCACAAACACCTTGTCCTTAACGAAACCCCAGAGAAAAAAAATCACAGGGCGTTAGATCTGGTGATCTCGGCGGCCAATGAAGACATGTCAAATCCTGTGGCCCAGCTCGGCCAATCCAGCGATGGGGTAGACGTTCGTTCAGGATCTCACGTACGTTGATATTCCAATGTGGGGGAACACCATCTTGCTGCAAAATTAAATCAGGAACAGCTTCCTCCAGCTGGGGGAGCAACTACTCAGAGAGCATGTCTTGGTAAATGTCCCCATTAATCGATTTTTCAACAAAGAAAAATGGACCAAAAGCACAACTGTTTGATAAAGCGAATAAAACGTTCACCTTGGGAGAATTACGCTGATGTTCTAATGTTACATGGGCATTTTCCGTGCCCCAAAATCGCAAACTATGACGATTAATTTTGTCACATAAGTGGAACGTGGCTTCATAAGTGGAACCAGTGTGTTCTCGAAACCATTCACGTCGAGCTTTTCCTGAAATTTCACACAGAAATTCTTACGCAACGGTTTGTCAGTAGGTTTTAAAGCCTGGACCTCTGTACGGCATGAGTTGGAGACGCTTCCGTAAAACACGCCACACCGTTATGTGAGGGACAGCCAGTTCTGCGCCTGCACGTCGCGTTGATTTTGAGGGACTCCGTAAAAACGAATTCTTTCAACCACTTCGGGTTTTGTTTGTTTTCGTCCTGGGCTTTTGTTCTGGCATAAGCAGCCGGTATCCTGGAACTGCTTCACCCACCTGCATGCTTAGGTTCTGCCGATGAGGTGGTTGATGAAAATTTCTTTGCACAACCGAAGAGGTTTTGGGATATTCGAAAACGCAGTACGCTTTCTCCTGCATGGACGACATTTTGTTTAACAGCGCCTCTAGCGGCGAGTTCGTCATTCGATGATGTTTCCCTGTTGCCAAATAAAACTTGTATTATATATATNTATATATATATATAAATCTGAGTGCGACGGAAACTATTATAACAATAATAAACATTTAGATAACAGGACAACTTTTTTATTCAACCGTTTTAACAAATAGTTTTAGTGAATAATAAATTTCATTTTAGTCTCTCGGAAAATCTTTTAATTACTATTTTAAATATATATCGAAAAACAAAATATATAAAATATTGTAAAAATGAATACTGCAAGTGCAATTGAAAAATTAACGTAAGCGACAAAAAATTCAAAATTCAGATTTTATACACTTGGCATCTTTGTATATTGCAAGGAAAAAAAAAAGAAAAAGTATTAAAGGAAATCAAAAATAAATTTTGTTTTATCAGTTTTGTGACATTCTATTTTAACATTTATAGTATTAGCTATAGAAGGAAAATAGTTGTCATGTAAGCCACTTTTCTCGGAGTGAAGCATTTACGTTGTTTTCTCTCAGTTGCACGGCAGAATACATGTTTCTGGTTGTTAACATAAAATTGATCACGATTTTGGATCGATTTTTCACGATCTCATCTTTCCTAATCATCTTGAAAATTAAGCTTCCAATCTTGAGTCCTACAGACTTTCTCAAAACAATCGATCGTGATTTAAATGAAAAACTTAAATTGAAGATTATTTTGAAACTATATGAACATTTACATCACCCATTTCACATTATATTAAGAGTACGTTTCTGCAGCGTGCAATTGAAAAAAAAATACTATAATAGAGTAAGTGACCCTGCGTTGTAGTTTTTTCCAATGCGGGTGGCGGAGAATGTGCCATGAAGGGTTTCTCTCCGGGTATAGTGTCCTCTTGAAGAATAAAGAAGAATTAAATACAAAAGTGATGAGGTAACAATGGACGCTAAAGTTTATTTTTAAGCGTTTTTAATATGAACTATTTTAGGGTATTGTTATTATTTAACCACTGGAGTGGAATTTTCGAAGAAGGACCGAAACAATTAATTTCTTATTAAGGAAAGCGACTTTCTTTTGATTAGAATTCTTTTGTTCCTTTTTCTCTCATCGAATTGACATATATAGTGTCTGAAACAATGTTTGCCATTTTGGGATATATTTCATCCATTATTGATTGTGTGTTTCATTAAGAGGTCACCTATTCTTCAGAAACCCCAAAAGGGACTTCTGAAGTTTATGTAAGTAAAATTAGTTTCTGTAAATTTCTATGTTATTTTAAAATACTTCCAAGCGCAATGTTTAACAATCGTTTTTTAGAATCATTATATATGTATTTTAAGTGTAAAATTTTCGGATGGTATTAAAAAAATAGTTATGTGGACAAGTTGTTTCTTTTACGTCGCATAAAGTTCCTTTACTTTACGTCACATAAGTGCTTTTTTTAATTTTCTACCTCATTTTGATCAAAAAACATTTAAAATTTCTTGGATAAAAAATGCATAAGTTCAGTAAAAAATCAAATTTATTTCTTTTTACTTTTAAAATTTATAATACTTCTCTCAATTTCTTCATACAGAATATTATTGACGTACAGGCCACTCAATCTTATTTTAATGGACGATATTTTTAAAGAATTAAAAAATTTTAAAAGTTTTTTTTCACTTTCTGAAAATGAAGCTTGAATGTTAAAAAAAGTTTCAATATTTCTGAATGCAGGTTAATTTTGGTTCATTTGGTATAGGATCATAAGACCGGATCATATCTTCAACTAACCCTGTTTTAACCAAGGGTCTTAAAGAAGCTGTTTAAAAATTGATTTTTTGTAGATTAACTACCTATCATTACGGTTGATATATCAACAACCGAGAAAGCAAAAATCATCGGTCAAGAAATGCCTGGAATAGGAATGCCTGGAATGATGTTGATATTTAAAATTACTTTAAAATAAAGACAAATTGAAGCAGTTCGTTTAAATTTTAGATCAAGTTAGAACAAAAGATAATTTTTAAGACTCTGGTAGAGTGAACAAAAAATAAATTAAAACTGAACCACTCAAAATAACTTTTTTCTTAATGATCGGAATTTCATGTACTTCTTTAAGATTAGAGTCCTAAAGGAATCAAACCTAAAGAACTCAAATTGATAAAGGACTAAAAGCACCATTTATGATTGAGTCCTGAAGGACTCAATCATAAATGGTCCGAACAATCAACCTTATACACGCTTGTTTTTAATGCTCAAATATATTTTTTTAATATTTATATCTCATTTTGTATTATTTTATTTAATGATAATCGAAACAATTTCGAATTGTAAGGCATATAAATTCTTACATCGTTGTAAAGTATGTTGTTTTAAATGAAAAAATACAAAATTTGAACAAAATCTTACTCAATTTTTTAAAAAAAAATACTTAAAATATTTATTTCTCGAGTGAATCGATTGCGTTTCAGTTGATCGTTCCCTATTTCGTTCCGTTTAGTTGTTAAAAAAAGCACCTTCCTTTTAACAACTAATTTGTCACTTATTTAATTGACTTCTTTGTCATAGATATTGATTAATAAATAATTGCAAATATATTTTCGTTCATTAATGTTTGATTATTTGCATTATATGGTTTTTTTGGTTAAAGATGCTTGAATGTTGTGTTGGTTATTTGATTGTAATCATTTGGTTGATAGTGAAAAAAATAAACAAATAAAGTTAATTTAGGCGTACAGAAACGTTTGCTGTTCCCGCGCAGATCTTATTCTCACGATGTAATGTGTAGATCATCTAGGTAGTTTGAGATTAAGTCAAGTCTGCAGCGACTAAATTAAAATAAATTTCGCTTCATTTCCGTAAAGGTACATTTCTGCTAAAACACGTGTTTCATAAAGCCATAATGGAATACATGCAAGTGACGTAGGTGGGTATCTCGATCCTGATTAGTTGTAGAAACGTGGCATTTGTTTACGTTAGCAACTGCTCTTTCCATTCTATTTCGGGTAAAAAATATGTATATTTCATATCCATTCTCTTCTTCACATTTGAGGAAAAGAAAAAAAAAAAGAATTCTTCGATGAAACTAGTTAAGTTTAAAGATTGAGTAAATTCCGCTTTTTTTTTAATTTTAAAACTTAAAATATTGATTTTAATTTTTGAGAATGTATATTTTTCCTTTTTTTTTTGAACACGTGATCGTCGTTGGCGGGGAGGAGGACAGTGGGTAAAAAGTCATCAATGAATATCACTTTAAATTCACTAAAGTTTAAAAAAAGAAAGATTTATGATGCTTATTTATTTATTTTTTATTAAGAGTGAAATTTAGGAAACTAATTTGACCCCCATAAAAATAGAACACCAGCGACACGTTAACTTTTTGCTGTTTTAAAATTAATTATTTACCTAAGAACTATACTTAAAGGCAGTTTTAATGAGTCATATAATTTAAACAATACAACAGCATTTGGATCCTAAATAACATTTTAAAGATTCTGTCATTGTTGGAAAAAAAATAGTAGGAAAAAAAAAGAAAAATAAATAACAATGTATTTTGAAATAAATTACAATCGGAATAAATTAATTTTAACGCATAATGAAGAAAAAGCTGATTCTCAACTTAATTTCATCAGTTAACAAATAAATAATTTTATTAATATACTGGAAATGTAATACTTTATCTTGTTCCTCTCGCTGCATTCTCCCGTTATAAATTGTTTTCCCATCGACCACCAGAGGGCATCCTAATCAACCTCTTATTGAAGATGCTTCTCTAATGTTCCTTCCTTCTTTGAAAACTCTCAAGCAAAGAGTGCTTCTCTCATAAATCCATCAACAGGTATCATTTATTAAATTATATATTTTTACTATGTCTGTCGTTTTATTAACAGAAAATTCTTGCATAATTTTATGAACTGAAGTTTTAGAAATTTATGTCATGAATTTAGCTACTCTAAGAATTTAATCATTATTTCTTAAAGAGTAAGTTTTATTTTTATACTTTTGAGGTTAAAAGATAGTATTAATAATTATAATAACAATTTTTAATACTTTAATTGAATAAACGGTTTCTAAGAAGAAGAAAAATACAAATTAAAATTAGTGAGTCGAAGAAAATATACTTTTTTCCAAAAGTTTGCTCTGTCTCTTTAATGCTTCAAATTTATTGTCTAAACTTTTTTTTTCTTTTTTCTTTGAGTTTTAAACACATATAAATGTTTAAAACAAGCCACATATTTTGATAAAATATTCAAAATTTCGGCCTTACTCACTTCGCTCAACAAACCCCATAATCGCTACTGTTTCTTGATGATAATATCAGTTTGTTACAGCAAAATTAAACAAATATTCAATTATATCAAAATTAAAGAGTATCGAAAATTCCATTTAAACACAGATTAGGTTTCATATATTTGGTTCCCAATATATACAATGTTTTGTATTTTTGTATTCATTCATTTGATCATTTTTGTTGACTGCGAACAATTTTACTCAAAGTTTATTATAAGCAAAGTAACATATTTAAATTTGATGTAATATGACAATTTTTTTATTGTGAAATGAATTATAAGTTTAGATACCGTTTTAAATACGATTAATATAAAATATTGCGTTTGAATATAATGTCTTAGAACTACCCGAACATAATGCATATGTAGATAATGTCTTAGAACTATTCTAAGATAATGCGTATGAAGGTAATGTCTTAGAATTACCCTAAGATAATGCGTATGAAGATGTTTTAGAACTACCCTAAGATAATGCGTATGAAGATAATGTCTTAGAACTATCCTAAGATCATGCGTATGAATATAATGTCTCAGAACTACCCTAAGTTAATCGTATGAAGATGTTTTAGAACTACCCTAAGATAATGCGTATGAAGATAATGTCTTAGAACTATCCTAAGATCATGCGTATGAATATAATGTCTCAGAACTACCCTAAGATAATGCTTATGAATATAATGTCTCAGAACTACCCTAAGATCATGCGTATGAATATAACGTCTCAGAACTACCCTAAGATAATCCGTATGAAGATAATGTCTTAGAACTATCCTAAGATCATACGTTTGGAGATATGCGAGTAGAAAACCTCTATTACCTTCTATAAATTGCGGAATAGTATTTAAATTCAAAAACGTCATATGATACGAAGCTAGGATTATGAATAAATACGACAATACATAGGATAGAGAAATATTTTTCAGATTAAAAAATTTAATCTTTATAATTTTTACTTGCTTTAAGCTGATGACAACGAAAGAATTGTGGATCTTAATGAAGGAGTGAAATTATTTTTATTTGGCCATTAGGAATGCTCCGTTGGCAATTATGTGTGTTCATAAATGATGTCACAGTTATAACCCCTTCCTCCACACTTGAGCAGCGTTGTAGATACAGCTCCCGATGAAGTGATTGAGGCTCGAATCCCAGCGACTACTAGACACGAATTCCGTTCCAGACTCGCACAAATCCACAATTCTGACGCTAAATAGACTCTTTGGCAGACCGATCACAGTTTAGAATTCTCTTGTCATTCATCGTGGGAGTGACGCGGTCCGATTAAAAAGTCTTCTTCCACGGCTATTTTGTTCTATTGCTTGTTTCGGGATTTCCATCATCTTCTGGTTTGGGTTCAAAATGACAAGACTATGAAGTTCAACACTAATAGTCCAAAATTGGGTAAAATAAAAATTCAATAAAATATAAGAATTCAATAAAATATAAGAATTCAATAAAATAAAAATGTGTCACGCTATATTTAAGATCAAACAAAGACTTCAGATTTTATTTTTAAATCGTGCGTTCTAATGGCTTTGGAAAAGTAACAATAATAATAACTAGTGTACTTTTCTGATGAAAAAAAAATGAAAATACAATAGATAGCAAAAAATATTTATTATCCTGGGTTTAAATTGTGCCTACTTTAACAAAATAAGGGTTGTCACACTTTTTATTACTCTCTCCCCTTTCCCCCCTCTCACCATCCTTCGCCCATCTCACCATTTAATGAACCCCTTCCTTCCCCCATCTCACCATTCAATGTACCCCATCTCACCATTTAATGAACCCCATCCTTCCCCCACGTCACCATTCAATGCACCCCATCTTTCACCCCATGTCACCATTTAATGAACCCCATCATTCCTCCACCTCACCATTTAATGAACCCCATCCTTACCTCATCTCACCATTTAATGAACCCCATCATTCCCCCATCTCACCATTTAATGAACCCCATCATTCCCCCATCTCACCATTTAATGAATCCCATCCTTCCCCCATCTCACCATTCAATGTACCCCTTCCTTCTCTCATCTCACCATTTAATGAATCCCTTCCTTCCCCCATCTCACCATTCAATAAACCCTATCTCACCATTTAATAAGCCCCATCCTTCCCCCATGTCACCATTCAATGTACCCCATCCTTCCCCCATCTCACCATTTAATAAACCCCATCCTTCCCCACAAGCGTGGTATCATTTGTAGAAAAGGGATCATAGACCATTTTTTTTTCTACACAGAGAAAAAAGAGCAAATTGAAAGCATTCAGTTTTAGTTTATTTACATTATAAACCAATAATGATTACACGATTCACTACCCCATATTTATTTCTCGCAAATCAGACTCAGAAGACGTGGGAACTGACAGTTATTTAGAGCGTGAACAGTTAAGTACTCCCGGGTTAACGGTGAAATGAAAATTTCGCTTCAGAACATCTTTATCGGAGCTCTGAAAGACACCTTAAAAATCTTTCACGAGATCAAATCTTTTCAAATAAAATAAATAAAATAAAATAAAATAAAATAAAATAAAATAAAATAAAATAAAATAAATGAAATGAAATAAATGAATTAAAATAAATGAAATAAAATAAAATAAAATAAAATAAAATAAATGAAATGAAATAAAATAAATGAATTAAAATAAAATAAAATAAAATAAAATAAAATAAAATAAAATGAAATAAATTAAATAAAATAAATAAAATAAATAAAATAAATAAAATAAAATAAAATAAAATAAATGAAATAAAATAAAATAAAATAAAATAAAATAAATGAAATGAAATAAAATAAATGAATTAAAATAAAATAAAATAAAATAAAATAAAATAAAATAAAATGAAATAAATTAAATAAAATAAATAAAATAAATAAAATAAATAAAATAAAATAAAATAAAATAAATAAAATAAATTACTCTTGAAAGAATTAGTCTTTCTTCATTATTTGCATGTACAGACTTATTATTGAATAAGTTTTACAACCACTTGCATAAAAAAAGAGCAATTATATGAGAAATATTTTAAACTTAAATAAATGATTTACACAATATAAAAATTTGCTGATGTAAGTCAATTATATCTTTTTTTTAAAAACAATAATGGCTTTATATCACAGTTTATAGCGTAATTTCTATCAAGTGAACAAAACCATTATATATATATA